TACATATTAAAATACAATTCAGATGCCTTTAAATCACTATGAAGGAGTTGGGATGAAGTGGAGACATAAAATAGTGTGTTTTCCAGCTTTGCAAAAATAAGTGCGTTCACTGTTGTAAAAATAATGTGGATCATTATTACTGAAACAAAAAAAAAGATCAAATTTGAGTGTTTATTTGCAATAATGGTTATATCTTGCAATGAATAAAAACTGCCTGATGGTTACTAGGCAACAATTTGTTTCATGCATATACATCAACTATAGGAAAATAAATCTGTTTTAAACAGCGTGTATGTGGGCGATGATTCTGTATGTGAGTTTGTCTGGTCAACAAGTGACTGGTGTGTGTGCATGTGTGTGTATATGTGCATGTGTGTGTGCGTGTGTGTGTGTATGTGTGTGTGTGCATGTGTGTGTGTGTGTGTGCGCATGTGTGTGTATATGTGCATGTGTGTGTATATGTGCGTGTGTGTGTGTGTGTGTGTGTGTGAGTTTTTATATGTATGTGGACTGAAGTTCACTATTACAGTCCCTGAGTGGGTAAAGACAGGGTACTGTCAGATTGACATACTTTCAAACTCACCCTCTCTGCCAGTTGCCTCTGCCACTCATGACTATCTGCAGGGAGCCAATATCCATGTATAAAACGTGATCTGAATATGCAAAAACATTTCAGATCTCAATGTCAGACTAAGATGGGTGATTCCATCTGAGGAAAGAGAGGGGAGGTCCTGCATTTTTTCTCCTGTTTTCCCAACAGTCACTTGGGAACACTGTGTGAGTTTGTCTGCATTTGAGTCAGAATGGGAGTTTCCTGGTAGGAGTTCCCTGCTTGTTCAGTGTGATTCTCACCATCTCTGTGTCACTGCAGTAAAGGCCTTGCTGTTTTTTAGCAGCTGGTCAGCTTTCCAGCCCAGAGGGGAGAATCCGAAACACCATTTTAATATAGAGTATTTTGCTTTAGCTAAAAATTCTATGGATTCAGTTACAGAAATTAAGCAGCCCTCTAAACAATAGGATATGCAGAACAATTTAGTTGCTCTTAAATATTCTATTTTTATCATTTTCCATACACCAATTGTGGCCTCTGCTGGTAGTGATATGTATTTATAGGCAATACTCCATACACATAGAGGCCATGCACATAGAGGCCATACACATAGAGGCCATGCACATAGAGGCCATACACATAGAGGCCATGCACATAGAGGCCATACACATAGAGGCCATGCACATAGAGGCCATGCACATAGAGGCCATGCACATAGAGGCCATGCACATAGAGGCCATACACATAGAGGCCATGCACATATTTATCAATTTCTTCCTGTGTGTAGAAATGGGCACATGTGTTTACGAACATTCCCGACTGTTCATGCGCACAAACTCCTAGCAGCAGAGAAGCATAACTGGGGTTAACCAATCCGCACATAGGATACACGCAGAATCCCACTTAATTATCAACCTTGATAGATTGACAGATACAATAATCTAGTTACACAAATGTCTTGGTATGTATATCAAGATATTTAGGACAATTCTATTCACTTCGGGGAAGGTCCTTTTCTCTTCCAGTATGAATGTGCCACAGTTCACAGAGCAAGGTCCATAAAGACATGATTGGGGGAGTTTAGTGTGGAACAACTTGATTGGCCCGCACAGAGCTCTGACCTCAACTTCATCAAACACCTTTGGGAATGGACATTGCGAGTCAGGCCAACATCAGTGCCTGACCTCACAAATGCTCTTCTGGATGAATAGGCAAAAATTCCCATAAAGATGCTCCATAACCTTGTGGAATCCTTCCCAGAAGAGTGGCAGCAGTTATAGCTGCAAAGGGGGGACCAACTACATACTGATGACTATGGATTTAGAATGTGATGTCATAAAAGTTCCTGTAGGTGTAATGGCCAGGTGTCCCAGTACTTTTGTCCTTATAGTGTATGTTGGTTATCGATCCTATTGTCCAATGCAAAAAATATGGAGATGCAAGCATTCAATAAGGTATCCATTAATGCATTTCATGTAACTGAGATACAAAAATAATTCTATCTGCTCGATTTTTGCAAATTAGTGGTGATGCTTGTGGTCAACTAATCAGAGCTGGTGCTTGTGTCAACCAATCAGCAAACTTAATCTCTATAAGCTCCACCCAGTAGTTATTGGTTGAGCAGAAACTACTTACTCCGGAGTAGGGACAACAAAAAAAGGTTCAGGAACTACCCAGAAGAGCTACAATCGGGCAGTGTTCCTGCAGTGTGAATGCAACAGAAGTTGCTGGTTACTGAAAAAGGTTCCAGGCCCTGAAAAAGGTTAATGAAGTGGGAAAGTGTCTACTGTCAGGAGATGAATCCCCAAAACCATGAAGATATTCTGGGCTGCAAACTGTACCTGCCCCCTGAAAATGAGTCTGCTCGTTTTACACTTCGTTGTCATGGAGATTCGCTACCCCCGCATTGTCTTTCATGTCTGAAAGCAATGTGTGACAGGCCTGTGAATGTGGCATTTTTCATCCCCGCACTGCACTTACAGTGCCATTACCATCCCTGTGTGCCCAAGTGGTCTCCTGAACGTTTCAGCACATGGACAGTCCCCACAGCAGACACAACACTCACCTATTTTAATAACAGAGTAGCATCTGACATCTGAGATTGTTATGGATGGAAATTTATGAAACCCATCCAGTCCTCAAGCTCCTGGTGCTCCATCACTTCCTGTCATTCAGGTCTTCAGCAAGACGCTCAGTCCATGGGTGACAAGGAACTGTCACCTGTACAAATACCCTGTTATCTCCTATCTATAATGCAGAAAGTAAGTCTTATAAAATGCTTTTAAAGGCATCTCTTTTTGTAAGTATTTACTACTTCATACTGCTTTACAATGTATAATCTTAGCCAGGGCACCATTTTTGTGTCCTTTTTTTCTGCGATTTGATATATTTTGCTAAATCACCCCAATGGTGATCGATCAGTACTATTTAGTCTTTGCTATATTGGTTTTGTTTTATAATTTTGTACATTTTTTGTAATGAAAATTCAAGAAAAGCTGAGAAGATAGATCGATGACAGGAGCCACCAGCTTCAGGGACCTTAGTAAGCACCACCCAGTCAGGCAGGACACGTGCGGTTTAACGGAGGTATGGAGTGGAACTGCGCTCCTGTTCAAGGGCTAGAGATCAGACTTGAAACCAATGTTACTGTACATACAGTCATAACTGTCGAGCTCCTTTAGTTTATTGCTGTGTGTAGAGTAGGCACCATCGAATAAGTGTAGACACGGTTTGAACAGCTTCCCAAAACATTATCTACGATGGTTAGTCAACTGGTGAACAATTCTTTCGTGCCACTACCACGCCCAACCAAGGAAAAGAAAAACTATTTCAGTTAGTAGCACGTTAAACATCTGGCAAGTCGTTTTGTGTCGGAGCTGGTAAATTCAACAGTCATCCTGTTTAAATTACTTCTGATCATTTTCACAAATCGAGTATGTGGATGGCAGCAGAGCGGTTCGTGTAACTTAGGATCAGACAATCCTACAGAATCCACTTTAATACTACCACACAAAACGGAGTCTTAATGTTGCTAGGCAACAATGCCTCCCTAGTTTTTAAGCATTATAAAACAACACAGTATATGATCAAAGACATTTGCAACCAAACTTGGGATTTAGACTATAAATTGTGAAACCTAGCCAGAAAAAAAATGGCAGTTTTTTAAAAAAAGATTTACATTTTTCACAGTAGCTTCTATTTTGTGCCCTTAGTCGTCCTCTTTAAAAACAGGGACCAAAATAGCCAGGCCACGTTAAAAAGAGAATTGTAGTACCCCAGGGTGTGCTTATGGTACAGGAAATACAGCTGCAGTTTACGGCGCCCCAAAGACGGTAATTCATTTTTCACGAGCTTGTAGAAAGTGGACAGTTGGATAGCTCCGCCATTTCAAAGCGGTACAATATTGGCATCTCTGATTAAAATGTGCACAACGAAAATAAAGCTTAGTAAAACAACTTTAATTTATAATTAATTAAAAGCAAAGAAAACTGACAGCTGGGTTTATGGCTTCGCTGAAGTCAGGAGATGCAGAGCAGCGCGGATCTCCTGCCGGGTGATGGCGCCCCGCTTGTTGGACTTGGAGAGCCGAGCCGCCTCGGACATCAGCCGCCCCACGATGTTCGCAGGGATGGATCTCGGTAGGGTGATTATCTTGCTCACCGCAGAGTCTCCCTGAAATTCAAGGGATACGGAAATCGGGGTTGCCAGTTTTGGTCAGCTGGCCAGTCTGCACACGCATTTACATGTATGTAAGTTTTATTACCTTGTAAATAGTCTGTAGGGTTTGCAAACTACCCCAGTTCTTTTGATGTACATAATTTTAGGTTTATAATGGAATATAGGATTTGCCATAAGATTTGCCAGCTCTCACACGCAACCCTGATCAATACGACAATGGAAACTCGCCAACGGATATTTCAGATCAAACCTCTTTCTGAAGCCTATAAATATAGGTGGAATACGCCTTAGCAGTCTTCTTAACATTCCTGTGCGGCTTCTTCGAGTCCTTCATCTTCAATCCACAGGTCTTCATTACTGCTGAAGAGTTTAAGATAAGAAATTTTTGAGAACAGAACGCGACCAGAACGCGAGATTTTCTCACTTACCAAAAAGGCTGTTTTCCACAGAAGGAACAATGCATTCGCTAACTACAGCCTACACCTGAACAACTTATTTTTATACTTAATAGACCCGTTTAACAGCTCCAGGTGTTATACGGGTGTTTGAAAGACGGTTAAACGATGGAGCGCTGTTTCCCGTAGCAACAAATTTTTTAATTTATGTAAATTGCAAAGCCCACGTTCCCCCGCAAACCACGGAAAAACGGACTAAATTTATTAAAGCCTATGTAGATCCGAGATATTGTGATAAGATCCCCACAAAGCACGCTCTTCTATTTAAATATGTGCTGTATAAATTAAGTACTTTTTCCCCAAACAAAAGATTAAACATTACGTATGACGTGGTAAATATAACGCATGCGCAATATGGTCAAATAAGTAGGGCTTAATTGTGCTGTCACAGTATTTTTACGTGTACAGTAGTACCTAGTCTAAAATTCCTGTAATCTAATACTTGCATATTTAGATATAGTAAACCATTCTGAACATTGTTATTTAAGCTGAGACCTCAAATAAGAGTCATACTTTTTCTGGGATGAACTCCGGGCTAACTGTGATCCTATACAGATAGATGCATGTTTAGTACCTTAAATTGAGTCCATGTCTGAGGTAATGGTGTGACTAAAAAAGCAGGGCCCTCGTCATTTCCACCATTTACAGTTGAAGTGTAATTTGCGTCTCCTCCAACGTAGGTGCAGAGCTGCAGCCAGAGGCCTCATCAGATGACAAATAGCACAGCGGGAGCGTTGACTCTGCCCCCCACCCCCCCCTGTTATGCACTTTAGCCTTTGTGAAGTGTGTGGGTGTTTCGTGGAAGTTCAGTGTCAGAGAGGGATTGATGCGTATTAACTGATGAGTTGTTCACTGGTGCTCTAGTAACAAGTCGAGCGGCTCTTGAATGGGAGGAAAATGTTTAGAAACAGACAGTGGGAGCTGGAACATTGTCTGGAAAGTATTAGTATTAAACAAGGTTTAATCCTGCTTCGTATCAATATCTTCTTAAAACCATTAATTTTATCTTTTCAATTTGTCATGGATGCAACAACGATGTGAGTAAAAACAAAGCTTAGGATTGACCATATTTAAGGTTTTAAATGAAAGAAAGAAAAAGGAATATTCTGGCTTAGCAATAACCCAAACTCAATGTTCTAGAATAGGGGTCCCTAACTAGGGCGGGTCAAATTCCACCAGTAACATAAAGCCATTGGGTCTAATAAAATTTTTCATTCAGGAGGGAATTGATCGTGTGATCTGGATCCAGTTGTACGCGCCTCTGTCAGCCGGTGACCACAGTTCCACAGTATATAAAATGAAAGACACTGTCTGCCAGATTGTGAGTAGCAGAGCAGAACAGTACTGATTTTTGTGTACTGGAGTGACGCCTTAATGGACCTGCGGGTGCGTTACAGGGCTGAGCAGCTGTGAAACGGCACAGATCTGAGTGATAGATGTATCCATGTGCCCGGATAAATGCAATGGGAGTGACTTGAAGGAGCGAGAAAAGGGGCATTCTGTAAGGACAGACAATTACAACCCTGCGGCTCAGACTAATCCAGCACCGCAGGCTGCGGCTGCTTTGTGGCGTTTCAAAGTAAATAAAGATGGAATTCAAGGGCTGGAACTTTTTCCTATCAATTCTGCTCTTGTCTGAAGGTATGTACCCTTACATCATGACAGACGTATATTTTGCTATATTTTGAATATATTAAAAACATATTTATTTTTGATATACTAGTTTTGACCACCTATTAACTGGGTAATGAGTATGCGGGTAATAACATTAACTAAGTGAGACCACTGGAGAATATGTAATGTCTACATTAACCAAGAGAATGACGTAAATATCTGAAACTTCTTGTCACATACTTACCATGAGGGACGTTGTTTTTTTTCTGTTTAATCCTACATATATTTAAATGTGTTAAACTACAGATTTGTGAACAAGTATTTGGGACATTATCCTTAGATAACTTTAGTTGGTACGCATAATTTCTACTTCCAGGTCTACCTTGGTGCCATTTGAGTAGGCTCTCCGTGACTGAGAGGAAGCAGCTGAATACTCACCTGTCCTTGTTTTTTAAACCTAACACTATGAGAGTGCAGTGGGCCTTTTTCACTGGATTATATTGATGATCTGTGTCCCTTGCTCTGATCAAGGTGCATTTTGTTCCCTCTTTCTGCTGCTCTGGGCTGTGTGAGCAGTGCTTCTCAGTGTGCATGCACAGGAGGTAGGTGTTGCTATGGCTGGGACCACTAAGACAGTGTTTCCCAACCCGGTCCTGGGGCGGGGGGGGGGCGCAAAAATGTGGAGTGTCTGGCAGAAAGCTGGGAGGAAGCAAAAACATGGACTCAAACACTGCACTAAGATATACGATGATGGTGGCGTGGCTGTGGAAGAGGAGGGATGGGATCCAGACTGGAAAGTGACCACTCATCTCCTTATGTGTCACAGGAGGATGATGAGGCAAAGCCGTCGGCTGAGACATGGACTGGGAAACCCTGCAGACATGACTGCAAGATGAGCTCCACTACGGAGTTTCCTACCTTTACCTCTCCATCCACCACCCACCCTATCTTCAGCTCACCCCAGAGCAGCCTGTTTGACTGCATGCCAGGTGAGGATCACATCAACTGGTTGCATCATCCATGATTGCAGTGCTGAGCTCCCATCTGACCTCCAGCTAACCCTTTGTTCTTCTGGATGGGTTCTGCTGGATTATCTACACAATTGTGTTGTAAGGGTGGGTTCATGTTCTAGAGTTAACATATTCATTCTAATATCATTATGTTCAGTTTCCTGTTTGCACACTCACATAATCTGAGATGCAGTTAAAACTGGGCAACTGCTTGCCCAGATCTTTCAACTGCCAGTGCTAAATTTAGACAGTTTAATTTCAGCCCGATTTTTGAGGCACCCAGAACAGTATTTGGACAGCAGTACAATTACAATTGAGTAATCAGTGACATACTTCAGCCAAAATGTTTCAGTGTTTTAATCTTAACACTCAAGCAAGAATAATATGTCCATTCGTGTCTGACTTGCAGAGAACTGTTTATTAATTAGGTAGTCTATAGCAACAATTCTCAACCCATGGGTCATGGATCATAGCGTTAATTTAAACCTATTCTTGAAATAAGATCCCGACTGAGCTGGCATGATAAAGATTGGGTTGAGAACCACTGCGCTATAGTATGACTCTCCTGTTGCCTTAAAACAATGCCTGCCAGTTTGCAGACCTACTGGACACTGACAAGGTTTGATGTGGAAACCGTAAGACTTCCAAAATGAGCTTGCAAGAAAATAATCCCGTTACTTGACCAATGGCGTGCACTACAGATTACTAACCTTAAATTAGGATGTGTTTATCCAGAATGACCACAGTATTAAGTCTAATTTGAGTATTATGACTCCCTGTAATCTGATCTTCTGGCTCTCGCTACTGGGTCCCATTCCGCAGGACAGGAATCACTAGGTAGCTTAGCTGGTTTAGCACAAGCCTTGAACTACTGTGACCACAAAAGGAAGGAGTATTCTATCCAAAAATGAGCCGTCGTTAGCCTGAGGTCAGCATTAGGATATGGCCACCTGTCAGCCTCAAGTATAAATGGGCATCCATTTCTCAACAGAGAGAATTAGTGGGAAAGCTTTGCAGGATAGAAATGGAAGCACCTCCATTGGCAACATAGCTGGCAATAAGACAGGAATTGGCAAGTTGCCGATTGACCAGAGGAAGAGCTCAGCATTTGCCTTTATCCCACCCTTGAGCAGCTGTTACTTCCATTATGATAATTAACATAGACCACCCTGCTCTGATATATTACTGCAGGCGATCGCCCACTGCTGAACGCACCGTGTCTTTGTCATTGAGCTCTGAGTTCAGTGTTATTCACTTTTAACCTCTTTGTATGAAAAACCAACATGGGGACAAACTAATGTTATTACAGGAGAAATAAAATGTGTTTTTCTTGCACCACCCAGGTAAAAGGAAATCGGTATAATTCAGAAATCAGGTGTCCTTTCTTCTACAGGAGTTCTGGTAGAACACCCAGGGCTGTGCTCATTACCAGGACACAGGACAGAGGGGAGATTTAAATATCATTACCCTAAATCCTAAATAACAAAGCAACATTTTAAATAGATGACCCTGTTTGAAGGACTTGCTGAAAGATTTCCCTTTATCTTTTCATTATTCAGAGTTTTAGTCATCTTTACAACATTTTTTTTTTACCATCTCTCAAGTCCCATATATAAATTTTTTTCTTAAAGTAGGTAATGGAAGACTTGCCTATTTGTAGAACTGTTATTTTGATCACACTTTAGGGAACACAAATAATGTAGTATTATGCTATTACTTATGTGTTAATTAACCACATAGTGTTAATTACAAACTGATGTCATGTTTATCATTAATGAATCATGATGTAACTTTTATCCCAAGCAGTTACTATATTTGTTGCTATATCTGTTAATTCGGTAAATCTTAGTGAACTACTAAAGGAACTACTATGGAACTACTGAAGGAACAAGTGATGAATAATACAAGTGAAATACTGATCAAGTTTGTTCATTGTTAATGAATCATGACACATCTTTCATCTTTAGTGAACTATTTGTTCATGATTTGTACTTCAGTAGTAACTGAGCTACTACTAAGTGTTTGTGTCTCAGTGTTGCCATTATTTTTCCATTTGAAAAGGCTTCACTGCCATTTTGAAAGTGCTGGAACTTTGAGTCTGAGTTGTGAGTGTATAGATTGGTATGGTCTCTGTCCACAGAGTGCCCTTATCACAAACCATTGGGCTTTGAGGCTGGATCTGTGACGTCTGACCAGATCAGTTGCTCCAATGAGGATCAGTACACTGGGTGGTACTCCTCCTGGCTGCCCAGCAAGGCATGTCTCAACAACCAAGGCTTCGGGTGGGCGCCCTGACCTCTGCTCCACAACTCTAACCCTAACCCTAACATGCAGTAGATGAAGATAAAGAAACACTGAGAGTTGTCCTTATCCAGTGACATTACCACATAGGTCAGAACATAATCTTCTGCAGAGATCTGTTGAGATGTCAATCTGATTATGTTGTAATCCACTTTGGTCCCCAGGTGTGCCTGGCTCTCCAAGTTCCAGGACAGCAGTCAGTGGCTGCAGATTGACCTGAAAGAGGTGAATGTGGTGTCGGGCATCCTGACCCAGGGCCGCTGTGACGCAGATGAGTGGGTGACCAAGTACAGCCTCCAGTACCGCAGCGACAAGAACCTCAACTGGATCTACTACAAGGACCAGACAGGAAACAACAGGGTGAGTCTGACTCGTAAAGCAGCTGAAGAAGCCTGGGTGGATATTATTGGTGTTTATGTGCACGTTTTGAAAATTTACATTTACGTTCATTTTTATTTAGCAGATACTTTTGTCTAAAGTGACATACAAATGAGGCCAATATCAAGGAGTCAATGAAACATACGTGTAGCTAGGCTGAGCTTCCAGTATATCCCCAGGTACAGGTGTAAGCAGTACTGGAGCAGGAACTACACAACTTCTAACAAAGCAGGAGCCTAATAAGACTATTCGATGACCAGAAGTGCAACATTAAGTACATTCAGGGAAGATTTATTCATTAATTTATTTAATTAGTCTTCCCTGCGGACATGTTAATCCTGGTATGCAATCATGCACCACATTCTCCTGCACACAGGTGAGTTTCCCTGTGCATTGGGATGTTTGATGTCATTATTCTTGGATGTTTTGGTTTTACGACTAAAGAGCAGCAGCCGATTCCCCTGTGCTTTCATTGCCATGGCAGGTGTTTTACGGAAACTCGGACCGGTCGTCTTCTGTCCAGAACCTGCTGCGGCCGCCCATCGTGGCGCGCTATGTCAGGCTGCTGCCGCTGGGCTGGCACACGCGCATTGCCTTGCGCATGGAGCTGCTCCTGTGCATTAACAAGTGTGGCTGAGACTCCGCCCACCCTGCAAACTCCGCCCACCCTGCAAAACAACCCCGCCCACCATGCAAAACCCCACCCACTCTCCAAAACCCCACCTTCCTTAACAGAAGTCGCACGCTCGCTGAAGTGGAACGCGCGAGCCCGTAGGAGAGACAAACAGCACCCTATAACAATGCCCCAATTCTTTTCCAAATTACTTATTATTGTTGAATAGTTGAAAGAAAACCATTTTGGTAATTAGGAAACAATGTGGTCCACTAAGATTGTCATTATGCTCTTTATAAAGAAAGGGATTTTCTTCACGGAGATAAAAGAAGTAAAAATGGAAGTAAACTGATCCCAGGAGGTTGACATGGTGATAAGATAATAGTTTTTTGTTGTATTACATAAAACTCTGCTGTATTATGTTCCAGTGCGGCAGAGTCCATCCTGGGTCCCACTCTGCAGTCAGTATGTATTTCTACTTGCTCAGAAGTTTCCACTGTATCCTTAGGTTTACTAAAATAAAAAAAAGAAATTCTCAGTTGAAATATCCCTGTTTAAATATTAACAGTCAAATTCTGAATAACTAGTTATAAGGATCCAACATTTTTGCTGCAACATAAAATACAGCTATAACAGTGCCGTCTACAACAGAATCACACAGCAGTCTAGTTTCTGAAGTGAGAAACCTGTATTTTTAATAAAGACATGTTCTGCAAGGTCAAAAAATATACAATGTGCTTAGTAAAAATGGACCATTTTCATGCCAGTATTTTAACATTGATATTATTTACATCGACAAAAGACATGCGCACACGACACCTGCTAGAACAGTAGCATCGAGGACCTGACTATTATGAAAACAAAAGACAAGCACAGCAAAACAAAACGCTGAAAGCTTTGCTCATCAGTGTGTACCAGCTCGGATACAGTCGATGGACAGGTATGCGCAGGATTCAGACACAATATTTAGGAGGAAAGTGGCTAGTTCTGTGGCTATATCTGAGTAACATTTCTGCTGCATAGCACAAAGAACATGAAGGAACAGCATCTCAGTCCTTTGTTTATACATGGCACTTTGATCCAGACACTGTGTAGCTCCTGTGTCGGTGCGTCACATTCCAGCAGGTTCCATTACAGCATCCCGTTCACCCACAGCACATACACAAGCGGGTTCGACCCTGAGCACGACAGATAGGTCTTCAAAGATCTGTAGTGGTTCTGAGTGCTGAATCAAACAGCTTACCAACTTATAAAAAAAAACACAAAGGCATTAGTCTAATCAAAATTCTGGGTCAGTGAAAAAAAGCTTGTATTGTAGCCTACAGTAAACTGTAAACCACATAAACGAAATATAATATCAGGCAGATAAATGACACATTTCTTTTACAATGACACTCTTGTGATCATATTTCCCATGATACGCACCAGTAGACTAATCCTGGGTTTACGGCATCACTTATTTAGAGCATACTGTAAATGTGCAAAGAAAGAGAATCAGGAATCAAATTGTGACATAAAGGGGGCTTTTATTAAGTTATAGTTACTGTAAGTAATCGATCTGGGAGAGGTCTCTATACTTCTATAACAGGTTTAAACACACACAGCTACCTACATTAAGAACTGATTTACTCTGTTGACACATACTGTCTTGTCTCCTGACAATGTAAAATATCCACGACTCATCCCATAAATATGATCTATCCCGAAATAATATAAAGACTTTTTGCCCATTGTCTTATTAAATTTTTTTAAATATTGTTAGCAGTATGGTTCATATCTGTTACCTTTGCAAAGATTTTAGTTTACATAAAAAGCCTTGCAATGTTTACAATATCCCAAAATCGCCCGTCTTTCATCGGTGAGATTTGTATATAACATAAATATTATAAAATATAGGCAATCAGATATATTGTTTAAATTTTTTGGTATGTCACACTCAAAGTGTTATCATAGTACATAACCACAGAATCACAATGCATGTGAACTAATTAAGCAGAAGACACAAGAGACTTGAATCCCTTTGACAGTAGGGAAAAAGAACAGCACCCTAAATGAAAGTAAGCCAAATCATCAAGGGAGTCACAAAGAGAGAAGGTACAGTACGGCACTGCGCAAAGTATCCCTGAAAACTGACATTATTATTGACGGCTAGTTACCCTGAATCAAGCCATTGCCATCCACCCAGGAGAGTGTTATAAAAGTACACAAAGTGAACAATGGTGTGGTACTTTAGGAGGAACTTTCAGTGAGGGCAAGGGTGTCTGAACGGTCTAAGACAGCGGTCCGCAGAAAAAGAGGAGGCTGACGCCGCAAACGCAAAAAGCTGCGGCAGAAATGACCACGGGCAGCTTTGACGAGACATGGGACAGCGTCCACATAGAATACAAAGAAACGGCATTTAAACTGGCAATAAATGGGAAAACATATGAGAAATAAATAAAAGCCAAGAATAAACAACAACCCCTTAAAAGACGAGAACCTTTCAGATTTCATTAGCGTTCTGACTCTACGACATCAATTTTTCACTCCTCAAATGTCCTCAAGCTTTGTGTATTTGTCTTGCACAACAAGTAGGAGAATTAGATTTAGGTAATATTATATTTGGATAAACACAGCAGCTCAACTGGGCTCCATTTTGGCGGCCATCTTAGCTGAAATGTTTCTGTATTGACTTAAGGCAAGGAAGGAGCAACTGGCCAAGACGCCGGTTCGCGGCTGAAGCACCGGGCTGGACCTGTCAGTAACGGAAGGGAAGTGGGGGACCATACAGAGATGGCCACACAGCAACTGGGAGACCACAAAAATGTAGCCGCATCAGTTAAAATTGTAAAGAATACCTTCAGAAATGGCCAAAGCTGCCGGTTATAGCTTTATGAGAAGTACAAATGTAGAAAGAATTATTTCCCCGTGACATTCGTGCTTCATCTGATTTCAGGTTGGAGAATGAGTCTAGGACAGAACGCATTAGCTAATGCTTAGCATTTCGGTTATTACCTGAGAGATGTTAAATACTATGTGGAAAATAGCAGGGAGTTTGAGAAACGTGTATAAAACAACATCTTATCAGACATTATGTCCATTGGTTGCATTATTTAATTGCTCCTACAGCATTGCAGATGCAAAGCTCTGGTTTCTCCTCTGGGCGTCGTGCTTAACATTCTGGACGGATGGACATTGGTGTCAGACCAGAGGAATTCTGCATGTATCTAAATGTTATTGCTTCTGATCTGTCAATTTATCTTGTGGGAAAAACAGATAATCCTTCATTGCTCTGTGAACAAAACAAAGCAGATTCCTGGCCGAGAGGAGTGGTGAGATTATGTCCCATTTCAGGCCATTTTGGTGAGAGGTACAACCAGGTACAATGTGGGTAATCAACATATCATTCAGTCATTAGTTATAGACATTATTAGAATGGGAAACCTCATTTTATTATATTACCTCCCTCTTCCTTTGTCTGATAACACCTCAAACATAATTTTGCCATAAACAAAAATGAAAGAAAAAAAAAAACTGAATGCTACAATTTTGATTGTCTGAATAACAATCATAAAAACTTTCAACTTGCTTTTAAGCATCTATAAAGTTATTTTTTCCATGTATATGTATTACCAGAGATAGTCACACACTGGTATTAATATAATACACTGTGTTATTCAAGATTATAATCAATTATCGCAGAAAAAGAAAAATATTAACTTACAGTATGTAGCGTAGAAAAGGCAAATACTTACTTCACGTTAATGTACCTGAAACACAGACCACAAATTCAACACAAGTTCTCTGTTCCCAAGAAATGTTTCCACCAGAGATGCTATATCCTGGGTTTGATATTGGTTATATACTGTGAGAACAGAACACAGCCGGGACAAGGTATCTCACTGTAGTCAGTTTAAAGTGCAACATTAGATTTTTTAAAAGACTAGACATTTATTTTTATTTTTTCCCCCTACATTTTCATCAAACTGAATTACACAACATACATTTGGCCCATGTGGTCTTGCGTAAGATTTTCTGGAGAGTAAAAGCAACTCCAGACCGTGTGGCTTACAAGTCTGTTAGCTGGCATTCTGCTCCACCTCTTAGTTGTTTAATCCATGCCAGTGGATTAAATCTGGTATTTAAGATCTAAATCTGCTGCCTGAAAATAAACAGCCGGATCTGCCAAGCCTGGACCCACGCAGGCCAGTAGTTGCCCAACCTTGGAATAAAGAGTGCTTTCCTACACAGATTGGGCAGAGGAGATGGCTCATTTACGGGCTACCAATCCAAAAGACCCAGAGAATCAGCCTCTACCTTACGTTAATAACACATCAAAATAAATATAGTGATACATCCTGTTTGAGGATAAATGGGTTACATTTAAGCTAAATCTCTCTGATATTTGAATCTTAAATGGTCTTAAAGATCCTTAAGCTACACATTATATCAAAATATAATTTACAGTTTTATAATACAGTAAAATTTGAAAACAACTACTCAAAATACCTAATCTACAGTACTTTCTAATCTTAAATCATTTTGAATTAAATATTTCTGTATTGCTGCATTTGCATCTGTATTTACTCATTAAATAGTGGTGATATGGTTTAGATTCAGATTTATTTCTCCAGGTTATTGACTACATACAGGACACACACTATGTCCTGTAATTTCATCCATAAACACTTGATAAATGTAACCATTGGCAACTGTTTCCCTGTCTACGTGCGACATAATGTTTAATGACTGGGGCAGCAGGACTTAATGTTTACATCCTGCAGGATTTTGAGGCGTTAGGATGCTCATGAGCATTTTTAGCATGGCTCCATCTGCTGGACAAAAATATCATGGCAACTAGAAACGACTCCCACTAAAGTAGGAGCAGTTGCTCTAGAGTCATTCCTGCAACAAAGTGGGTAGCATGGGGTCTTTCAGGAAGCAATGCTTCTGTCATTTCCTTCTGTAGTGCATGGACAAAACTTGTGTTCCCTTAGTTATATACAATCAATGGGGTAACCGCCAGAAACTACTGAAGTTCTGTGGCCCCGAAAGTGCTTACTCTACCTAAAGCCAGATACACCCCAAAATATTCAAAACTCTTCTTTCATAGGACTAACTGGAAAATGTTCAATTTGGGCAGTGATCAGTAGAAAACATACTGCTTCTTGCAGTGTCCATTAGCGGCTAGCATATGGCATCACAACCAAAGCTATTCCCATTCCCAGGTCTGGAAGGACACTAGTGGGGCACTCGATAGCCACAGACCCAACCTCCCACGGATTTTTTCCCAGAATAAGCCAGGGATTCATCTAGGGATCATCATATCCCTGTCATTTAGCCCACAGTCCAAACAAAACACAAAAAAGTAATTAATAGTAGTTCTACGGGCAAACCTTGGTAATGCACAAACCTCTAATCTCTTAGAACTGTTATACAGAACCATTAATATACTATGTTATATAAAAATGACATGGCTGCACAAAGGCCGTCTTACATTTTCTTAAGTCGTTAAATGTCCTGTCTAGTACTTATAATCAACAGACAGGATATAAAAACGTCATGTACGACATGTAAAACAGAGTGAGCCGGTTAAATGAGTATTGTACTGCAGCCAATCTGAGTAGAAAAACAACCTTTATGATTGCATCTCCAATTAAGGTCAGAGGCCACACAATCAAGGAGGAATAAAACCAAATTAAGAACCAAAAAATATATTTGTTACAATACCATATGTTCTGAACAACCTAGTTTTTTGACACGAACACCTAAATATTCATATTGTAATAGAATAATTATGCGAGAAACTTAATATACTTACTCTGTGTAGAAACTAAAGCTCTCACATATATACTGAATTTAATTTAACCATATACATAGTTTTCAATTATTTATATTGTTCAAACAAAAATTGTACTCATAAATATTACAAATTCTATCAAATATTTAAGCTTAAAAAAATCTAAGACGTATACAGCACTACCCCTAGGCCAAGGGTAACCCTGTGTTCCACACTCCTGCTGTCGAGCGTGTTGTAATACAGGCAGCTCAGTGGGCAGCAGACTGAGCTGTGAAGAGGTCAGAGGTCAGGGCAGGGACACGGGCATCGTGTTGGTCTACAGAGCGGTTTCTTTCAGGTCGTTGAGGTTTGGCATCCGCAGGCGAGAGGAACGGCCGAAGCCGTGGCCCTTCTGTTCCGCTTTGCTGGGCATTTGGTCGGGGTAGGTGCCGGCGTCGCCACGGCCGAGAGCCGACGTATGCCAGTTGGACTCCACCTGCCCTGGTAGGGGGTAGCCTGTAGGGCAGCTTTTGGCCTGTGAGGACCCGCTGACGGAGTGACCACGCCCTTCGACAAATCCCCCTTTGGACTGGGGGTTGGGCAGGTGCTGGAAGCGCAGTTCAGACGACGGGGTGTGGTGGGAGGACGAGGAGAGGTGAAGGAGCTTACGCAGAGACTTGAGTGGCTGGGTCTGAGAGGGGTGTGACAAAAAATGTCTTACTGAGTATAATACAGCAGACTCCTGCCTGAAGCTGTCTGAGGCATTTCCATTGGCGCTGTCTGCTACTGTGTCTTGGTAAGTGTCAGACTATTGGCTATTTGGGTTCCGTGAAGATAATTCGGTAATACTTTATTTAAAGCACCCATGTATAATGCATTATAGATACCTTCGTGATGCATTATAATGCATCAGATACCTTCATAAAAAATTATAATGCCTTATACTGACCATTAAAATGCATTATGAGGGTATCTATTGTAGGGATGCACCGATCGATTGGCCAGTGATCGGAATGGGCCGATTCTCAGCCTGATCGGTGATCGGCCGATCAGTCTCAAGTATTTCCGATTACGAACCGATCTTGTGCATGCACAATAAATGATATGCGCAGTCACACGCACTTTCAGACACGCAAAAATGTCCGTAATTTGCGTAATCTTCAGCGTGAGCCAAGCGGATGCAAAATTCGCTATCTGCAGGAAGTGCAAGGGCCAGGTACACCGTGGGGGAACCAATACAAAGACATTTAACATAACAAATTTAATTAGACATTGAAAAACACGTCACCCCAGTGAGCATGCTCAGTTTGAAGAAGCTAGCAAAGCGAGAGCTGCTAGCAGAGCATGCTGGAAGCCATCTTGGTATAAGCAGTGAAAAGAGCAAAGAAATTACGAGGAAAATTATGGAATTCATGGCACTGGACGACCAGCCGTTTTCTGTAGTTGAGGATAGAATCTTCAGAAATCTGATAAATTACCTCAGCCCAAAATACAGAATCCCGAGTTGGCGTTACTTTTCGGACGTCGAGCTACCGGAGTTCTTTAATCTAGTGTCATGTCATATTATTTTTAAGAAAAAATTAATGTTTAGTTGTATTTGGGGTTTTATTTGTTTTAGTTTAGTTTATTTGAATTTTTAAAGTTTAATAAGAGTTTGTTATGAAAATAAAGTTTTGAGGTGAAGAAAATCTGATTTTCTTATGTACTTGCTGAACTCAGGGCAAAAATCGGTATAGGAAAAATCGGAATCGGCCGATCGCACATACCAAAAAATCAGTAATCGGGATCGGCCAACAAAATTGCAATCGGTGCATCATGTATCATAGATGAGAGCTTTATAGAGCATTCATAATGCATAATAAATATGGCTATAATGTGTTATACCTTTTTATAAATACGTATAGCCATGTTTATAATACTTTATGAATGCATTGCAATGCATTATGAAGGTTTCATTAATGCATTATCATGACTAGTTTGAGGAAAGTCTTACTGAAAATTCATCAAAAGTTGGGACATAAGACTTAGAGTAAAAACTAATCCTAATGTCTGAGAGCTAGTATTTTTCACCATAAACAATAGATGTTCGCACCCAGAATTTCGGTTCTTCTGTGCCTGATGAGATAGGTAGTTAAAAACAGCTTACCTGAGGAGGTACTTCAGTCACCTTCTCTGAAGACCATTCAACATCTCTGTCTCTGTCCCTGTCAAGTTCTCGCTCTCTGTCTCTCTCCCGTTCCCTCTCTTGGTCTCGGTTCTTGTGCCGGCTGCTCTTGTGTGAGGACAGCCTACTGGAGTTCTGTACTAGGGTGTCCTGTCCATCACCAGGAACCTGTCCATCATGTTGGAGAAGAAAATGCTGAGGATGATTACCCAAGGGAGGGACAACAAACAACCTTCCAAGCAACACAGGTAACAGCACTATCTGGGAGAGAGTGGGTAGATGAGAGATTCCTTGTTGTAAAGTTGCATCCAATTCAAGCCAGGGCACCACTCTGGTGGTGAAAAACACATCCTAACAACATTAATGTGCTGGATGTTTTTTTATGAGACAAATACAGTTAAGATCCTTGATCATCATGCATTTTGAATGAGAAATAAGAAAATAATTCATTCTTCATTTGAAAGTCTTCATAACACTTAGACCATGTCAGTTAGAAAGAAAATTATTTCAGTATTTAATGGATTGGCTCATTTTTAAAAGCCATTTCACTGTCATGTCATCCTAATTCACCTATTCTTCTTCTTTACAGTTTTCAATCTTCAAGCGAAAGATGTGGCTTTTAAAAGATACAGAGACGTCGGATTTCTATGGGGCAGCGACATGTCAGATGGATAAACTCAAACGGCACTCAAACGCTGAAATGCTCACTGGCTTAAAAGGGATTGCTGGTTTTTGTTCCATTCAGATAAGAGAAAAAGGTGGGCCATTTAATTAATCAGACTTACACTCTCCACACACAAATTCATGTAGCTGGAAAATCACTTAATTTGGTTGATATTTTTTATCTCACTGAATCCAATCAGCAAGTTCACAGGCTGAAGCTCCAGGTTTCATTCCACAAATCATCCATGGAACCTAAACTGAAATATAAGAAACTAACAAGGGACTTATTATGGTGCTTAGCTGACACTTCAATCCAAAATACATGGCTTATTTAGATGAATTATCTTCCATAATGTTTCAACAGCAGAACCTCCTTCTTGGGATATGAACCCACAACCTTTCTAGTCTTGACCGAGTCGTTACCAGCTGAACTACTTAATGCTACACAACTGTACAGATGACCTCTGAAAAGTCTTTCTCTGCAGTTTTCAAGCTGTATTTTTTCTGTATATTACGTGGAACCAAGGGCATTGGGGGGGGGAGGTGGGGCTTAGGGTCTGCACCAGGGTCCAGTGGGGGGGGGGTTAGGGTCTGCACCAGGGTCCAGTGGGGGGGGGGGNCAAGCTGTATTTTTTCTGTATATTACGTGGAACCAAGGGCATTGGGGGGGGGAGGTGGGGCTTAGGGTCTGCACCAGGGTCCAGTGGGGGGGGGGGTAGGGTCTGCACCAGGGTCCAGTGGGGGGGGGGGGGTAAAACCCTCCCCCCATAATTAACACCCATGTGTGGAGGACTTGTTTTGCAATAACCCTAACCTCAGGTGATTTTGGGAGACATATTAATTTAAAATAAACTACAGTAAAATCTATTTCAGTAGTTGTGTGGAGGATGCATATTTTTGTGGAAGTTAAAGCCTCATGTTTAATTTCAGCCTAAATGAGACTCCCTGACCTAAAACCACATCCCTAACAGGGCACTTATATTATTCTAAGGAAGCGCGTAATGTAGGTCAGAAACATCAGAGAACTTTTAGATTTTAGTGACTGATCTTTCTTGTCAAAACTTCCAATTAGTAGTGGATCATGACATTTTCTGAATACATTTCGATCTGAAACCTGGCAGTGATGTTGTTTTGACCATTTATTAAAAGCCAGTTTCATAACAACTAATTAAATTTTCAAATATCATGAGATACTATGCAAATTTGCCTTAAAAAAGCAATAAGGTAAAGTTCACTCATCTAGTAATTTTTAGTACTATAGTCACAACTGTGGCCAAAAAAATCATTCACTGAAGCTGAGTGCTGGAAAACTTTTTTTTTATTGTAACTTGGAAATATATATCCAAAGAAAAGTCCAGCACAGAAGAGGAAGTAATGACACGAAGTCCTTTTGAGCATCATAGACATAACGTGGATATCAGCAACATTAACAGTATACCCCAGTGATGTGAGAAGTGTAGCTGCATAAAAAGCAGCGTCTGGGATTACTGAGCACTGTCAATTAACGTTCAGTTAAATTGGGGCACAAATAAAAGAGAAAGGGGCTGAGCAATGAAGACTCTGGAAGCCTTTAGAAGCTACTGATAGACTGCAAACAAGGGCGTCTAACAGTATAACATGGGCAACCAATAGTGCAACAATAACACAAAGATCATCGTGTCGCTACCACCAGTGTTGGGGAAAGTTACTTTTAAATGTAATATATTACAATACTGAGTTACTCCCCCCAAAAAGTAACTAATTGCATTAC